GCGCAAATACTCCTATCACGAACCCTCTGTGTACATAACCCAGCAGACTGTTTGGCACGTAATCCTCTTCCTCAGCAAACTGGCCAGACATTGCTACTTGAACTGCTTGGTGTTCGCATGCATGCTAAAGTAGCTATGACAGCATGCTTCCTCTATTTAATCTGTCACCCCTTCTCTCTCTTCCACAATGACGTATTGATAATTTCTTGGTAGCATGGGAATATAAGGTAACCCTATTTATCGTAATGTATTGACAAACTATTATTTAAAAGAGGCCTTTAGGTTGCTTTTCTTTAATTCATATTTTACCTATTTTTCACATTTTTCATGATTTATTTATTTTTTCATTCTTTCGAACCACACTATTTTCTGCCATTTTAAATAAATAATTTTCATAAAAAGTATCATTTTTATCTTGTTCCGCTTTTTTCATCTCACTCCAATTTCTATTAAATTCCCTTCCAATACATTTTTTACACTACTCGTGCCTTCATACTTTATCTCCTATACCTATTTTCTATTTGTATGTTAAAAAAGGCTTTTAGTCTGGTTTTCTTTAATTCATTTTTTACCTATCTTTCACATTTTTCATGATTTATTTACTTTTTCATTCTTTTGAACCACACTATTTTCTGCCATTTTAAAGAAATAATTTTCATAACAAGCATCATTTTTATCTTGCTCCGCTTTTTTCATCTCATTCCAATTTCTATTAAATTCCCTTCCAATACTTTTTTTACAATACTCATGCCTTCATACCTCATCTCTTTCTATACCTATTTTCTATTTGTTTTCCTATCACTGCTCTTACTATAATTATTTCCTATATAATTTGCTTACTCTTTCGTTCACTATAGCCGGCACCTCCGCTCTCATTAGCCAATCCGCTCATGACTGGCTCTCGGATTCTCCCCCTCGTAGGCCGTGGAAATGTGGTCGCCGCGATTATAATGGTAATATGGCTGGACCTATCGTTTCTGGTGAAAGTAGTAGTGATCTTGAGTCGGAACCTTTCCAGCCGATGAGCTTGAGGCTTGGCCCCTTGGTCGATACTTCCAAAATCTGTGCTGATGATAGAGATGTTAATGATCTGACTAGAGGCAAGCGGCGCCACAGCCCTTTTGACGGTATGGTATCAGTCGTTGTCGAACCGCGGCTTACTAGGCTCTCAAATGAATCTAGTCTTTCAACTGGCACAACATCTGTATCCAAACTCAGACTACCATGGCAGGCATCGCAAGCTGGCCATAGTCGACGTCGTTACCCATCGTCTCTCAGACCTTCTTCGAGTGCCTCAGTGTCTCTCATTCCAGACGAGCAGGGCAATGTAATTACCCTGACCACGAACAATCATCTCCTTGGAGAGGATATCAACGATGATGATTATGAAGAGGGAGAAGAATTTGATGATCTTGAAGACTTTGGTGATGAGGATCCAGATGTCGAGGTTGATATGGATGAGCAGAAGGAGCGTGATGGTTACAAAAGAATTAATAAGGATATATGTGTTTTGATGAATTCGGAGGTTGATGGGTGCTCAAGCCAGCCAGTTTTGCAGTGTTTTAATTCGCCTTGCGAGGGCTCTTCGTCAGCATGGCTTGAATTAGGGAGTGGCGGCCGTCGTCGTCGCCGCAGAACGCAGCAGTGGCGAAAAGGAACAACCTATGGAAATCCTCAAACACCATTGGCTGTTCATGGAGACATTGTTGACACCCTGTCTGCAAGGAACGTGGACAGTGATGATATATGCAGAACTCGACGTCTGCTCACATCCATGTCCATGGTAGCCGATATGGAAGAACATCGCATTCAATCTAGGTAAGGAAAATAATTTTTTAAATATCACTTTTTTCCTGGGCGTGAATAGGCTCATCAAGTTGTCAATTCGATTTTTCTATTAGTAAGATTACCCTTCCTCAATCCCTGGAATAATGTCCTAACTGCTCCCTTTTAGGCCAGCTGGTCCGCGTCAGAATAAATTTTGTTTATATATTTGTAGAAAATTAGCTTAATTTGTTAATTCACTTACTTATGTCTTAACTTGAACGTCGTATTAAAGGCAACTGGCTGCAGTGCTACGGCGATTGGCCGTCGTCCTCTGGTGAGATCGATTTACGAAGATCTTCATGCATTTTTATATAAAATGAAAGTCCCCTCAACAATGGTTTATACTGCTCGCTGAAATTTAAAAAACCAAGTTGAGTTGTGCTTGAGAGCTGACACTAGCAAAGAGTTGGCATAAGTAGCAAAACTATGTATATTTAATAGAGCGTCATTGATATTCAAGCGTATTAGCTTGCCACGTGCAAAATTCCATTAAAAATAGTCATTCAAATATGCACACTAGGTCGCCTTCCTGTCTAACGGCATTTTTATCTTCTCTTTTATATTGGTGAATATTATTTTTTGGGTCTGCGTCTCTGAGTGGCAATTCTTTCCTCTAAATTCCACTCTTAATTATCGATCTCTTTATTATATTTATATTTGTTGAAAAATATACTTTTAAATGCAAGTTTTATCTTTGCATCTTATGATAGCGTTGACAATTATATGGGTCTGCCCTATGACCCATTGATTAGCAAATATGCATCAAGTTGATTTATTAATTGTTACAGCAAAATGCTAAAAACTCGGGCTCCTTTCAGGGCCCGAGCTTGACATGATGTAAGCTAAATTATTTAAAGAAGTTGCTTGACCTTGTTTTCGCAACATGATCATATTTTTATGGAAA